AGTGATGTATCTGGGACTTCCAGAAGACCTAGAGTGACGTTTTTTACTCTCCAACTTGTTCCCTTCCATTATTATTAAGCTAAAACATGATTGGTTGATTCCACTGTTACTTCCTAATTATGTTAGTGGTTAATCTGACACATTAGGCCTTAGTTCAGCTCTTTGTTCAGCACGTTAGTCGAGCTCCCGAAGTAGGAGAGGTTGCTTGGCTTGATCTACCAAGATACCTCTGAAAAAATGATCCTGATTGTACAATTTGAAGCAGTAAATCTGGTTCCTATCACCACCACTGTAAATGTCTTAAAAGTTTAATTATACAGTTTTGGAAAATCCTTATTAAGTTAGAAGGCTGGGCTTCACTTGATGAATAGAGATATGACTGAGGAAAAAAGGGATGGAGAGAAACTGGTGCGAAACAGTATCACAGGAAACAGAAGGTAGAGATGGGAATAGGCCTGTGTCAATAACACAAACCTCTTATTTGGGTAACAGCGTGGAAAATAACTGCGTCTGTTGTCATGAGCGCATTCAACTAGTGCAGCTCAACAGCCGCCAATTTCATCTGTGTCATCTGAAACGTGGTATTACTGTAGGATGATGTCACATCATGTAGGATATTTAAAAGTTCAGTTATATTTGTGGAAATCTTAGTGTCTTGCGATTTTTAGAGGCTTTTACCGTCACTAAGGGCTGTTACTGCGGTAAATCGATCATCCGTCATGGGGCACATAGACGGAAATTTGAGAGGTGCTCCAAACGTCAGTTATTTCATGTGTTTACAGCAACAATCAAAATTAGTATTCTCTCTGATTACACATCACATAAGAGCCAGTGGGTATTCAACAAAGTAAGTTGTTAGCCTGACAACTTAATCCCAAATGCAAGATGAAGAGATCCGAAACATTCCTCTTAGACGTTCTTCACACTGGGCTTAAATTATCCAGCTGCTCTGAAATACCCCACAGAGCACTGTGGGTAAAAGAACATGAGTATAATACTGCATTAACTGCGTGATAAATGGTATGATAAACAATATACATTACAGCTGGCAGTGTTGAACTACGCTGGCGGAAAGAGCACTACGGTGCCTGTTTCTCAGGGTGATAATGATATAATTGCGGGAGGATCTGACAAAATCCTTTTCATTTTGTTACTCACAACCCGTGAATCCTACAGATCTGACGCCTTTCCCACACTAGAACCGAGTGCGCGGTTTGTAGAAACGAAAAGAACCCAGTCCATAAATCTCACTCTTCATCTCTTTAATTACAGCCTCTCTTGGTCCTGCTGATGAAGGAATCCACTTCAAGGGTTAACCACACTTCGACTTTTCCTAAACAACCGCGGAACCTATACGTCATCCTCATTCGGAAAATACGCTCTGCTGCGCGATTCCCAACGCGTGGACGAAATGAATGAAAAAGTCAGAAGTGGCTGAATGTATGTGGCTGTAATTGTGTCTATTCTTTAAGCCAACCTCCCTGATCCCATAGTAATTAGCTGATTAAACTGTTCGGCTGGACTCGAGTCAAACATTTCCCCAGGGACCGTTTCACAGAAGAGGCAATTTATAAAAGGAGCGCGGAGAACACCAGCAAGAACACGCCTGGCAGACGCTGCCGTCGGATTTCTCTTCTTTTCCCTCCCTTCTTTTCTTCCATTTTTCCTTTCCTTTCTTCTCCTTATTTCTTCGCCTCTTCAATCCTCACCGCTTGCCTCATCTCTCCTTTCTACTCCACTCCTCTTCTCTCTCTTCTCTGCTCTCCCATCCCTTCTTTTCTTCTCACTTCCTCTCCACTTTTCTCCTCTCATTTCATCTCCACTCTTCAGCACTCTTCTCCTCTTGTCTTCTCTCCTTTATTTTCCCCTTCTATCTTTTCTGAATTTGTTCTCCTGTCCTGTCCTCACATCTTGTTTCATCACCTTCCTTTCTTCTCTCGTTTGCTTTCCTCACTTTTCTTGTCCTATCAAATCTTCTCCACTTTTCTCCCCCTTTCTTCTCCTCTCTCCTCTTCCCCCTCCTCTCTCCTTGTTCCTTCTCCACTCTTCACTTTTCTTTTCTCCTCTCCTCTCTGATTTTTCCTCCTGACCTCACCTCTTCTCCTTTCCTATCCTGTCAGCTTCTTTCCTCTTTTCTTACCTCTTCTCTTCTCCTTTTTTTGCCACTCTTCCTCTTTCCTATCTTTTCTTCTCTCCTTCTTTCTCCCCTCCTATCTTTCTTCCTCTCCTCACCTCATCACCTCTCTTCTCACCCCCTGTACTCTCTTCTTATTTCTTCTCCACTCTGCTCCTCCTCACCTTTTTCCTCTCCATTCTTCTCCCTTCTTTTTTGCTCTTTTCTTCTTCCCTCCTGTCTTTTCTTCTCCTCTTTCTAACCTTCACTCTAACCTGCTCATCCTTTTTATCTGCTCTTCTCTCCTTCTATCATTTCTTCTCCTCGCTGGTCCTCTCCTGCTATTGCATCTGCTGCGCCTTTCCTCTACTTTTTCTTCTCTCTTCTTCTTCCTTCTCCAATCTTCTCTTCTATGCTCCTTTCTTCTCCTCTTTCCCTGTCTTTCCTTCTTCTCTCCTGTCCTCACCTCTTGCTTCATTAGAGGAGAGGAGAAGAAAAATGAGAGGAGGAGAAGAGTGGAGAAGAAGGAGGAGGAGCGCCTTCTTCTCCACTCTTCTCCTCCTCTCCTCTAATCTGTCTTTTACCTGTTGGACTAATTAATACACAGATCATAGCAACCCACAGTTGAAAGGTCAGGGCAGGTATGTGTGCAATGTGGATAATGAGAAAAACGAGAGAATAGCTGCCCCATCATAAAACACACAATCGAAAAAAAAAGCTTGCCCTCAAGATGAACTCGGTATCAGGTTTGATTTCACATCAAAACACACACAGACATTCTTCCACACACTCTTCACACTGTCAGCGGCAGAACGTCACTGTACTTATCAAAGAATGTGAAAAGCAGAGATATAAACTGTGCAGAGCAGCATCAGTCAGGGTATCAAAGCTGTAACGGAGAATAATGAGACAAGCGTGCAAACCCTTTCTGCAAAGAACGGCTCTGCAGACTTTTAATTAAGAGGATCTCAGGGGGGTCGAGGCGTTCATTCGGGTGCGTCCCGTTTAGGAGGCCTGACCACCGTAATGGACATTTGACAGATCAGTGCGTCTTCCTCTATATTGATCCCGCTCCGCAGATTTGCATTCCGTCTTGTGAGTGTTAACCACATTTGACAGAGTGCCTGGAAAAGAGGCAGATGTTAAGTAGTTTGTGTGTCTGGGGCATGACAGGTTGTTCTATACGTTCAGGGTCGGAGCGCCGGAGAAAGCTAGCGGCCACGGAGATCACTTAAGATTCCACCTACGTGTGGGAAATAAACTGACTACAGCTTTTCGTCCATTGTTTGGTTGATTTTTTTCTTCGGTGAGGGCACCTCATTTGGCATTCCGGGCCTCCTTTATTGAAAGTCTAATGTGGCTGGCAGCGGGGCCAAAAAATCTGACAGGTCTCAGCCAGGCCTGTCCAAGGCTGTTCAGGGGGAACAAAGATGCCGTTTGAAGTTAATGAAGCGTAAGCACACGCCTCTACCTGCGCCAGTCAGGGCCAGTGTCAATGCGGTTTCACCACGACAGTGCAAGAGAGAGATCTGAGAGGGAGGGAGGGAAGGAGTATGGAAAGAAGCAGAGCAGGAAAAGAGAGGAGGAATAATAGAGCAAAAAGACAAAGAGGTTGATGAAGAATAGAAAGAGGGGGCCACTGGCTGCAGCTGTTTGGGGACTAAAGTTTCACTGTTTTGTCTGAGAACCTGCAGCTCCACAATGTTATCACCGCTGCCACACAGAAGGGCAGCCGCTTCCCCTGCTGGAGGCGGGACGGTCTGGGCCTTTCTTGCGCCTCCTGCACACAATACCTCTTTTTTCCCCAGGTGTGAGGAGGGGCAGGTAGGCACGCCAAGAGTGGCGAAGCTTTAATGCTGACAATTCAGAAGCAGCTTGGGGTGGGGTTGCGTATCCCTGCATCAGCCAGCTCTGACAAGACATGAGTGGCACTTTCCCAAACTTCAGTCAATTGGCACTGTTTCTATGGGAACGAGTCATGGCCTAGCTGCGGGAATCTTTAGGGAGTGGAGGTGCACAAGGTGTGTACGTGTGAACGCTTGATAATTAAGGCATGTGAAGCTGCAGTCACACTAGAAAATCGCTGTATGTGACACCTTGCCAAATAGGCTGGTCTGGATTAGCTCCGATCTGTTTATTAGCTCACCAGAGATTATAATGATCTATAGCCTGCATAAGTAAAAAAAAAGAAATAGTAATAAGTTCTACTACAAGGAACATGGCATTTTCTGCAAATTTCTATCTCAATTTATTAGCTATGTTTAACAAATTGTGCAAAAATAAAGCATACAATGTGCCATAACTTTTGCACAGGCACAATGTGCCATAACTTTTTTGTATAATTTTTTTTTCCCAATATGTTAAATTCAGCTGATAAACAGTAATTGTGCATAAAAATGTGCAGAAGTGTGTTTGCTGTGGAGGGAGTGTTCACTTATTTTGACTTAGGAAACCAACAAAATATGTCATTTGACCAGTGGCGCCGAAACCTTTGCATACAACTGTACATTTATCTCATGCACACTGTGCACCACACGTCCTCATTTATGTTTTAATTGAGAATATATAAAAACTGATGCTTCTTAGGGTCCAACCAACACATCATTTTTAATGGTATTGGCAATAATATTGCGGATTAAGTGCCAATAATTAGTGATTTGTTTTGGTCACAGCTTTGCCTGCATTTGAACTTACAACCTCTGGACAAGAGAGCAAAACCTTTAAAACTTTAGGGCTGCTTTATGAAGGAACGCCTCTTCAGATGCAGCTATAGCAGCTGGCTATTGTTAAGCTAAGTTACCCTTTATTAGTCCCACACCAGGGGGGCTTGTTCAAAGGCACTTCAGTCATGTCCTGCCAGCTTAGGGGATCGAGCCGGCAACCGATCACAAGGCTGCTACCCTAACCTCCAGCCCACGACTGCCTCCAGAACCATTTATGTGTTGTAAGGCCACTAGGACATCTTCCATGCTTGTCAAGTGGAGCGCTAACTTTCACTCCTTTCACACAACAGATTCGGTTGTGCAAATTTTCTTGTCAAAGCTCACCAAAGCTAAACTCACCAAAGTTGAATCAAAAGTGCAACTTTTCATCAGAGTAAATTCTATTAAAATGAAAGCAATTTTGCTCGCTGACAAAAACCTAGGGTGACTGGACTTCAAGGAGACTCCTTCCAAAATCCTTGAGAGTGTGGCTCTTGCTGGAACTATCAGTGGCTCTTGCCATGGAGAATTAGCCATAATAGCCCATATGCGCAATGCCCACTCCAGCCTTGGACAGTGGCAGATGGAAGAGCCTCATTAACATCTCATTTGGCCAGGCTTGTCCTACTGTAGAACTATGGCCACTAGACTCCTGTCACAATGAGGTTCTACCACATAGACACAGCCTTTGAGCCACACAGATTCAGCCTTATGACTAACAGCAATGACAATTCAGAATAATTACACATTGACAGAATGTCTCAAACTCATTATGTAATTAGTGGAACATGTTAGTGTGATTGTAGTGAATGTGATTCCAGACAGAAAGAAAGTTGCAAAGCTGCTAAGAAATGTCTGGGGGTTGAGAGGGATGAGGTCACGTTATTGGATCCTGGTTTTATTAGTCAATAAAATGATAAATAAACTGCAAGGGGTTCCTTATTATAGCTTACAGTAGTTGCTAAAAATGTACTATATGAAAAGCCTGCAGTTTAAAGGGTCAAGATATAAAAACAGTTTTTTAATTTGTTTGGAATATAAAAATGTCAAGCAAATCTAGTAGCCTGCCAACATCACGGCAATGCTGTCCACAGCCTTTCCTTTCACTCTGCTTGAAGTCTATAATCTCACAGAAGCTGACCGATAGCAAGAGACAAAAACGCTCAGTGACCTCTCGATGGAATGATCCATCACGAAGTGGACGCTGCCATAGCCGGAGTGATCTATCATCACCCTGGACACAAACTCAGTGGGACTGATCCACGGACACCGTGAAACGGAAGCTGGGAAGAAGGGAAGAAGTAATGGGTTCATGCTGCATCAATGACCTTCAGCTGGCAAGACTAGCAACTTCATCGTCTTGGACGTACACAGTGGTGCGATGCCTCATACTGACATTGTTCAGGGTTCCAGCAGCATTAGGGCCTGTTTACTACATCAATCTATGCTCTGAGCAGACACACCCTCTAACACTCTCAATCATTCGCTACGGAAGCCGTTAGCATAGCATTGTGACAGCACGTAAGCACAGAACGAGAAAACATTCCCACCGACAAACCCCAACAATCAACAACTGCTCAGTACTCTTCCAGCACATACAGACAGTTTCCTCACTTGCAATCTCATCAATGGCAGCCTTTCAAACCTCCATTAACACCCTGTTGTTGGCAGCGCATGTCTTCAGAACCTGACGACGTACCACATGACATCACCGTGTTCCCATGGAATGTTTCAGCATTGAGTCAGCAGACAAGAGTAAGCCGATTCAGTGAGAGGAGATCATAAGAAGGCATGCAAAGCGATGCATTTCAGAGAGCATCCCTAGACCAACCATGAAGCAAAGGAACGAGAGAAAGAGCAGAGCACCATCAGAGCAAAACTCCAGCAGTCTCCACATACTCAACTTAGCATTGCTGCATAGCTATATTAGGGCTGCACAATGTGGACAAAATACTAGTACTGTTACACGTTGCCATATGTCGCAATATGTTTCAATTCAAAACGTTTTATTATTCCAAAATAGTAGGTTTTTCATGATGGCTGAGCAACAGAGGCTGCCTCTTCAGATGAGTCGATCAGCTAACAGTATAGCTAGCAGTACAACACTGAAAGAGGAAGACATGGCGTATTATAAATGAGGTTTTTTTTCTTGTCCTCAGTGGATGAAGTGCCAACATGTAGCTAACCCGCACCAGAGCCGGCCGCATTATCTCGCTGCTCAGTTACGTCCTTAACTGCAATTCCTTAGCAAAGTGTGCATGTTTCCTGCTTCGTGGTATTAAAGCATAAAACAATATACATATTTCCTCGTAAATACTAGCAAAACTGTCACATTTTACAGTCCTGTTATAACACAGAATAACAGTCTCAGAACACTGTTAGTGTGTATGTTTTCTCTGCCTTCCTATGGTGGAATGTAACAAATACACGAAAAGTGATTTCAGTATTCATATTATTATCACTTAATATATTCATGTTCATCAAAACATATCTTTCCAAGTGGAACTGTGATTGGTCAAGATGCTCATATAGGAGCCTTGAGTAATATCAACACTTTAAAACCAATATCGCAATAGCAAATAATATATTGTGCAGCCCTGTTGTTGTTGACAGCAGTGTGGAGAACACTTTAAACACCTGATTTGCTTTTGATTACCAATGTGTTCCTCAATGCAGTGGATGGAGCCCAGTGTTCCAGCAGCAGTCAAGGCCACATTTTGCAGAGAAGCTGGTCTAGTTGTGCTCTGTGTTTGTCTGAAGCTGTTTGTTTTCCCCAGAATAGCAGGATTAAGGGAGGAGATATTCACCTGCATTGGGCCAAGGAAGCTGAGAGGAATGTAAGTGAAGAAACCCTGTCATCAATACTAAAACCCCCACAGACAGTGCTGTTTTTATAGGACTAGATGACGAGGCTTTACTCTGTCACTCACTGTCTCTACGTGTGTGTGTGCAGCCGTATGTGTGTATGATGTCTACATGCGTGAAGATGTTTGTAGTGTAGTGAAATGTTCAAGTGTCTGTTTGTGTATAAAACTTTGGAATCACTGTTACCAATAATTTTATCCCAGTTATGTAGAAAGAAATGAGCCCAAAGTGGTACTTCTCAAAATACCATAAAAGAACCTTGCGGTTCCTTAGAAAACCGTTTTGGTAAATGTGTGAGTGTAAAGAAGCTTTTTAACATTTCAAGAACCTCCGCATAATGTAAACGTTCTGGGAAGAATCTTAATTTAGATTTGTTATGGATCCTTTACATTATGTGTTCTTGAAAATGATTCTTTAGGGAACCACAACGAGTTCTTCTATGGCATCATTCCAAGAAGCCTTTGTGGTATCTTTAGTTTTAAGAATGTAATGTGAAGCTGGGGGTTTAAATAATTTAAAGGAAGACAGAATTAAGAACAGAGCTGAACACTCTAAACAAAATAGGCCTCCACAGAGTACTAACAACAATATGACTTAACGATTGATCTCTATGACTTAGTAATAGAACAGAGGAACCTCTTTATGTGCTACTTAGAACTATTTGTATAATAGCTTCTTCTATAAGGCTGGTTTTCCATCATAGAGAAGAACCATTAACAATGCTAGGAACCGTTTATCTATTCAGATGGTTCTTTAAGTGTTCACAGTTCAATAGACAGTCATATGCAAAAGTTTAGACGCTCCAGTTGATGTTTTGTTCATTGTGTAAGTGAAAATAAGTGTGCATTCTCTGCAGAGAACACGTTTCTGCACATTTTAAAGCATAATTAGTTAGTTACAGCAATTTTAACATTTTATGTTTTCATTTTTTTCAATATCTTAAACAACTTATTCTCACTTAGAAAAACAACAAGACATTGTCATTTTAAGAGTGTAGATGATTCTGTAACAAACAGGAAGAACTTATAACATAAAAAATGAGGTTATAGTAAAATTTAGGCAGACAAGAAATTTGAACTTGACCAGAAAGTACTATAAACAGATAATTCGAGTAAATTAGTTATGACGTAGTAACTTCTTGTTGGCATCTAAACATACCTTTTAGTGTCTAGTTAACGATATTTCAATCTAAAACTGGGAAAAAAATAATTAATGTGTCAAGTGATTCCAAACTTTTGAGTAGTAGAGCCTCCCACCGTCTTGCTCAGTGTGGCGAGGCAGAGCCAGCAGGTGGGCCGGCCTCCTGAACATCCACATAATTCACCTGTACTCCTTTGACATGCTAGCATCAGCATGGGGGAGGCTCAATGTGAATGTGTGTGTGTCAGCGTAAGTGTTCTGAGAGTGTGTGGCTGCCCACATGTGCATTCATGCTCGATAGACAGCATGTTCTAATATGTTAGGCTAAGCATAAGTGCATTCTATATTTATCTAGCTGGATATTAACAAGCCGCATGAGGTCAATCAGAAAATAAAGATATGTTATTTTAAATAACTCTAATAGCTCACTATTATACCCAACTCTCTTTCCCACCACTTACGTTCCTTCAGCACTGATTGCCTGAGTGCAGGTGGAATTCTTCCCAGATTTACACATGCAGACACACACCACAGCAGCCTCTCCACCTACCCGTCACATTAACTTCCACCAGGCCAGAGCGTGTGCCGATGCTGTTTGTGGCGTCGCACACGTACGTCCCGCCCAGCTCGTACGTCACGGGCCCCTTGAAGAACAGCGTGTTGTTTTTGATCTCCACATTTTTGGGCAGCGATCCGTTAAGCCTGTGAGAGACAGTAGATACAATTTCAGGGGTTTATCTTTAGTCATTGCAGGTTCACACTTAACATATCAGAGCGCTCGTAAGATAAAATGCACGCTAAACAAAAAAGGGCTCTACATGGTGGCAAAAAAGGTTATATTTCTTAACAGTAGCAAGAGCAAAGCCTCTGTAGGTGCTTTGAATAACAATTAAAAGGTTCTGTAAAGGGCCTATTTCATAGAAACACAAATTTTTGTTTCAAAACGCATCACTACCCAGTTCATACAATCCATATATGGAAAATAAGCTGCAAAAACAGCCTGTTTTGAACTCACTGTTTCTGTGATGTCATGAGAACCAACTCGTATATCCATCTATTCTGCCTGTCTCAGTTTAGCCCCGCCCATTTATGTTCTAAGGTGTGCTTCAGCTCTGACAGCTTTTTGAAAGAGGCACAATACAGGGCAGCCAATCAGAGCAGAGCTTTAAAGAAGCAACATACGACAAGAAATTACCATAAAAAGATAATTACATTTTATTGTTTATTAACTGTATTTTTTCACCATGTCAAAACAACTTCTTGTTTCCAAATTAATTTGGAAACAAACCATTTGTTTACTATGTATAACCACTGTCTTTACTAGAGAACCCCTGAAGGAACCCTTGTTAGAAAATGAGTAATTGCATTAAACAGCAAAACAGCTGAAGCAGTACAAATAAACTACTGGGAAAAGAAGAAAAAAAGTTAATTTGTTTGTTTGGACATTTTGTGGTTTCAACACTTCCTCAATACTTGTTCTTACTGCTTTCACAGTGAAAAGGAACCACAGCAATGTAGCAGCTTACAGTAGTGATTTTATGTTTATGCCCACAAACGTAGAAACTTTCATTCCTCACTCTCAGACATACATAGCCTACATAGCCGCAGTGCTGTTCCTGAGTAATTCACAGTGTTTACTGAATAATCAACATCAAGCTAAATAACTGAATATTACACTTAAGTAGAATTAAATGGTCTGTAAAATCCAACAACAGCAACATATCGATCATCGGCTATGCTGCTCACTGAAAATCAGAATCGTTATTGTCCCATACTGGTCGACTAAACGTGCGTCCAGGGGAGCAGGAACCCCACCGGCGGCCAAATCCAGCCCCCAGCAGCAAAGCAGGGTGATTGAGAACGCACAGCAGGCATACCTCCCACACCTTCATGTGGGCTGCAGCAATATCTTTAGGCACGTGGCGAACAGAGGTATGAGCAGGGACACAATGCAGGTCCTTACAAGCCCATAGAGCCTCAGGACAACGGGAGGAGGAAAACAGCTGATTGAGGCAGAGATAAAGGGAGGGGCAGGGAGTGTATGAGAAAGCCAAAAAAAAGGCTGCACCTGTGGTGAGGGCAATGTAGGTTTTACTCCAGAATATTTATATAGTACCGGCCTGAATGCTCTGCTACGCTGTCGGGGGCATTTTGCAGGCATGGTTCCACATGCCAATCGAGGGAAGGGCCACTTCAAACCAATGCTGCTAAACATTTCTATCCTAATTAGAGTCATCTTGTTCAAATCACAACCAAGTTCTTGATGTTCCACATCTATGACCAACATGTGAGACAACACCCTCCACCACCAGCAACAATAGTGTTCCATCCTTCCTGTACCGTTCTGGAGTCTATGCAAAGGAACAATGAAGCTGTTCTTGTGGCTCGTGGTGACTCAACACCTTAGTAAGACACTTCATGTTGTTTTTTTTTCCTTTCCTTTGATCGCATTTATACATATCACTGCTGTCGGAACAAAACCTCATATCTCCAGTATTGCTTTTCAGTTTTTGACATAATTTGAAAATGACTGTTGCCCTTTACATGGTGTGTAAATTTCATGAAGAATGGACCAAAGAAATGACTTGAAAAAAGTCTGGTTCCATTGACTTCCATTAAAAGTGTTTGAAAATTGGGCCAATATAGCTTCTAAAATACAAGTTTATTATGTATTTGTAGTCAAGTGATCTATTGGTATGAAGACGATTATGACCAAGGAGTGCTCAGAGATGGTGGTTTGTTCCTTGAAGGAAGGGGTGGAGGGGTACGGCGTTTATACACAATCGTAGGGAAAGAAATAAGGGCTCTGCTGTGTTGCACTGGTTTCACCCGTCTGCAGGGAGCCTCAGAACAGCAGCCTCGGCAGTAGTTGATCAGGTGAGAAACATGGGACATACCCCATACTCGGCTCTCGCTGAGAGCTTGACCACACAGCCATGTTGAAGTATGTGTGTGTTGTGTTTTCCACAGCTTGGTTTGGTCATGGTTCAGCAGTCCACCATGTCCAGACCTGCCCTGCATTCTCTCCTCTCAACCCTGGAGAGAGGGGTCATACTTTGCGGCATTCCAGCGCCAGATTGTACCTCCCCCCCAAAGCTGTCCTTATCTTGCCCAACGATGGTGACGTTTCCTGAGGGCCTGGAATTCATCACCCCATCTCGATGCATCTAACCCAGCCCTGACCTTGCTCACACCTCGTTCCTTTGTGCGGATATCTCCAAACCTTCCCTGTCTATCAGAGGAAGCGTTCAATTCAGGCCTGGAAGGTGAGGTGAGAACTTCAGGCCCACATTCTGTTTCCAGAAAAGAAAGGCACTGTCTGACTCCGGCACTTCCCCCTTAGGGAATCCCCGCATTCTGACTCTCAAAAGCATTGAGTTTCCACTGGCAGTTCCTCAAACCTTTGATTTGAGGCTACAAAACTGTAAACTTCAGGCAGCGTCACGTCCCAAGATACCTTTAGATTCTTCTTCACACCCCAAAGTGAAGAGCTACCCCCTTCAACCACACAAGGTCCACAAATCCAGCTAAGCTTAGCTAGCCACGTGTGATCATTTTTACTGCTGTGCACCACAAATGCAATTCAGTAAACTGTGATCTCTTAAAACTAAGGTTAATGCAGCCCACGTTAATTAATCTTACCTTGGTATCAGTCCAATACTTAGTTAAGTGTAGCTTATCTGTTATCAAGGTTAGTTAATTTAGATACCTAAAACACAGGATGACAAACTGTCCTGCCTCTGTGTTTCTAATGGTAATGTTTTTAACTTGCCACTCCTCACTTCCTCCAGCACGATGACTACGTATTATGTATGCCTGATTCAGGTGGGGGTGGGGGAGTCAATGAGAAACAAAATATAGAATTGCAGGCATGATGTGCTCCCTGGACCAACCTATCCACCACCGCAGGCTCTCGTAATCATTAGTCATTTCCTACTGGATAAACAAAACCTGGCCTTTGGAAGTGTCCCCGCCCCCCCCCCACCCCCCCTCCTGTTCTCAACACAGAATCAGGCCCACCAGCACACTTCGCCGTTAAAAGCTATGAAATGCATCATTCATCAGAGCCGGCGAGAGGGGTGAAGCGGTATTAATGAGTGCCGAGCCAAAATTAGGCCGGGCTGCACATGCCCCGGCGCAGAGGTCTCCACGGGTTCAGACGCAGGGATTTGACACAACAACCTTCAGCGACTCAGTCCTGAACAGAGCCCCTGCATCATTTATAAGGAGTGAAAGATCTATTATGAATCTGTCTCATCCTCTGTAATCACTCACCTTGCACAGGTTCACAGGCAGAGAGAGGAGGATTTGACTTCAGCTTGTTACGGGAAGGGACGGACGTGCTAATGTCTGTTTTGACTTTTGGCTCCTACAAGCTTCTTAAATGAACACGAATCCCAACTTCCCTGCTTATTTAGCAAGTCATTCAATGAAAAATGAGTCCTCTCTGGTTCAACTCTCTTATTGTCTGTCAGTTTTCCAACATAGCAATTACCAGGCTACTTCAACCATCAATGATACATGATTATATCGCTCTACCGTCCAGCTGTAGTGCAGTTTCTGCTAGTTCTGGAAATGTGTTGCTAATGTTCAGTAACAATTCTTCACTTGTCACTTAATTTACTGGTAAAACCAGCAGACTGCCACAGTGTGTGTGGCAGACTCTGGGCTCATTGGCGTAGCATGCTGTTGTGTATTTGGTCATGTGGCCAGCAAATCAACTGCAAGCAGAGAAATAGTTGAGAGAGAGAGAGAGAGAGAGAGAGAGAGAGTGGTACAATTCATATATATATTCAGTAATTACATGTATTTATTCCCCATTGCTCGTCCATGCGTGTATAATATGAAGACGTCTCACGTGAGGCCACGTGAGACTGAAGAGTGCTGCGTTTATTCTCTGTGCTCATGTTTTCATGTGAGCCTGTAGAAGTATGTTTAGGCCAGAATGCACATATGCAATGACTCTCACGTGTTTGCGTGTTAGCGCGCTCACGTGTGCCCACATATGTTACACTGAACATGCATGTTTGCTCACGTGTGCCCATGCGTGCTCTCATATTCACGCGCATGTGTGCCCAAGTGTGGATGTTGAGCATACATGGCAGTATTCTGTAGCAGCCGCTGATGACCTCCAGAAAGCAGCTCGGGGGAACCTTCACAACACATTTGGCGATAGCTGCACACTGCAGCAGCGGCCGTCCCCTCCGATCTGTCAGCACCGCCGCACCGTCTCTCCCTATAACTGTCTCGCTCTCACTCGCTTCCCCTCTCTCTCCCATCTATATCCCTCCCTATCTCGTCCAGGCCTCTCCATCCCTCTCTGTGTCTACACAGAATAAGGCACATGTTAAAATAAACTGAAATAAATTGTGTATTATCTTCTTATAAATGTGTGTCCAAGAGTCCAGTGTAGTTTGACGTAGTTTGAAGCTGCTTAAAGTATTGCTTAAAAGCCATTTAAACACTGCATTTGAACAAAAGGGCTACAATACAGGCAACATACAACATACATATTCATGCAGATGTTTGAATAGTAATATTAGTTCAAATGCAAATCGCTCTTTGACATTCCAGGTCTTTTTCTGCAGTTCAGATTTTTTCCCCTCATTCTTTCTGCAATAGGTTATAATCGGTTATATTAACATTCAGTATGCGCTTATTTATTTTTGACAAAACACAGTTCTCTGACCAATTTTTACATTTAAAAACCCCAAAAATATATTAATGTATTGCTTGTATTGTGCATTATGATTCAGAGTTGTACATTATTATGCACTCAACAGGGATGGAAAAAGTAAAGAAGAATTATACTCAAGTCAAACTCTTAGTCAGTTATAAGTTGAAATATGGAGCCAAAAATATTGTTGGAATATTCTTGGCATTCAAACATAGTTTAGTGTATAAAGGGAAATAATTTTTTTTTTTCTTTGATTTGTCCTCACAAATCAGCAGGATCTGTCCTCTTATAAAGATAAGTGTAGTTGTGGTCAGTTTCATTTTACAGCGATATAAATTTGGCTGAATGTTTCAATAAAAACAATATGTTCAAATGCACAAGCACTTGAGTGATGGGTAAGACAAAAAGAGACAGATCTCTTGGTGTCTGAGATTCACAACAAGTATTTTGAAGGTGTGAATGAACAAGTAAAGAGTGAACAGTTTGTTTTCTTCCAATGTAATTGAGTAAAATCACAAGTAGTTTCAATAACGTGAGTAAAGCATACATGTTTCAAATTAATATTTAGTATCTTTCACCCTCGCCTACCACAATGCCTCCCTCCCTCCCTCCCTCCCTCAGCCACTTCTCTCTCCCTCCCTCATTTCTCCCTCCCTCCCTCAGCCATTTCTCTCTCCCTCTCTCACTATCTCTCTCTCTACCTCACCCATGCCCCATCCCTCCACACTCATTCCCTCTCTCATTCTCTCCCTCCTCTCTATCTTTCTCCATCCACTTCCTGACTTCATTCTCCCTCTTTCATCACCCTCTTCCCCCCCTTGACCTCTATTTCTCCTTTCCCTGTCATTCTCCCTCTGCATATCTTCATCTGACCCACTCTGCCCTCTCTCTTTCTAGCCTCTCCTGCTTTATGGCTGCTAGCATGTTAGCATAAAAACACACACACAATGGCCTCTCTGCATTCTGGGGCTTTCCTCTTCTCTCCAGAGAGAGGACTATTGTTTTTGTGCCCTTTGCTACCTAATACAGCCAAGTGTGTGTGTACTCCTCTCTCTCTTATTAAAATCTAACACAGTCCACGGAGTCACAGCACCCAGGGCGCTGGCAGCCATTAATCCACCCCCACTCAAGCCCAGTGACACATTTTCCCTTCCCTGTTCTCTCCCAGCAATTACAGGACAAATTGCCACATTTATCTCTCAATTTCACTGCATAATTCGCCCATTTTTAACAGCACCTTGCCACGAGTCGCTCCATTGTGGCACAGCTTTTGGCCTGCCTGCTTTATTTGGTATTTATGTACGAGAAGAATTAGCTATAGGACAAATGATGGCCTGCAGCCGTCCATGCTAATGCTAAACTCCATGCTAAATGAGCACAGCACATGGGGGATGAGGCATCGTGGGCTGTTAGATGTTTTTGCTTCAGATCTGAAAAAATCCACAGGTTTTTTTCAGAGTTCTGACAACTAAAAGCCGTGGACCTGAAAAGATGCGTAGCTGTCAAGAAGCCCTTACTGAGAAAATGAAATAGATAAAAAGAAAATTTGTAAATTGAACTAAAAACCTGCTGGTGTTCTCAGAACAATGAACTGACCACCCCAGAGTCCAGACCTCAGCTGAATGTGCTTGAGATTACTCGAAACATGAAAAGCAGTAACTGCAACCTCTAAGATTAAACTTTGGAGGTGTGGTAGAATATCTCCGCAGATATAAAGGGTGGATACACCAAATACTGAAAAATACTATCATCATCATCATCATCATCATTATCACCACAAGAGAGTGTGGGGTCAAAAATAACTCCGAGGTTGCGGACGTGGGGAGAAGCTGTTACCAGAATCCCATCAATATTGATGCCCAGGACAGATGAGCTACATATCAGTGCCTTTGAGTCAATTAAAAGCAGTTTTGCTAGCATTCAGTTTAAAAAGTTCAAACTCATCCATGACTTTATGTCATGGATACAGTCAGATAAAGCAGGTGGTGGTGTCGTCTGAACAGGGCTGATGCTAACATAGATCTGAGTGTCGTCTGCGTAACAATGATGTTGTATTATTTGGCCAAGTGGCAGCATGTAAATGGTAAACAACAATGGGCCTAAAACTGAGCCCTGTGGAACACCCTTAGTAACAGACACCATAGAGGGTGTATTATTCCGAATAGCTACATATCACTGTCAAAAAATGATACTATATTTAGTTGTTGAGGCTTCTGTGTTAAATATTTTCTTCTCTTTTTCTTAATGCTGAAAAATGAACTTGCAATTAATGTCTCAAACTTCTGGACAGTACAGTGAGAGAACCGTATGGATTATCTGAGGCATTTCCCACAGTGAATTTCACCGTGTAAATATTTGCATTGTGCTCGGCGCAGTCTGTAAAAATGGCAACAAGGGGAGCATTTACAGCGTTCATTTGTTAGTCAAAGCAGTGATACTATCTTAAAGGAACTAGGGCTACAAGCTAGCTACAAACCCCAGATCTGTAATGCTGATTCAACCACACCTCTCTCTCTCTCTCTCTCTCTCTCTCTCCTGCACTGCTTATTGCTTTTTTTCCCCTCATGTTTGATCTTGAGCTTATCGCTCTGCATCTGCGGAGGCCCGATGCTTCACTGTAAGTCTAACGAACCCACTGTAGGCCGCTACGGGTCTTATCTCAGTTCCTTGTAAACAACCTGCGATTTGGGCCAGAGATACAGCGAGAGAGGAAATGATAGTGCACATCAGCCGTCTTATTGGGCTGCGCCACATTTTTTCTCAGCTCCTCATTTCAGAAGTGTGATATGTTTCTGGATCATTATGAGCGCATGTGCAAATTGCTAAACTGCTGCCATATGCCAACTTCATGTTTTTTTTCAAAACCATTAATAAACACACAACACATGTTCCAGCAGCAGAAAAAAAAACACCTCCATATCAGAAATAAATGGAAAATAAAAGCTAGACTCACAGTTTCCACTGGTAGACGGTGACGGCTGGGTTTGCGTCTGCGACACAGGTGAGCTGCACGTCCTGCCGGTTAAGGTACCAGTTTCCATCAAAACCTTCAATCTTCACCTCCGGCTCATCTGTGGAACAAACAGCACCTCATTACATTTCATACAGTTTGGACACCCAGCCAAATAAAAATAATTAAAACGTATTAAGCAACAGTGAGTGCACTTTGAGGTGATGCACTGCACTGACTATTGACTAAATATTATTTAAAAATATGATTAAAATATTAATAAGAAATTCCATTTTTTTAAATTCAGCATCATCATAGAAATCTAAACAAAGTCATTGTTTTGCGGTGAAATGGTGCAATGTAGAGAAACAAGTCAGATTCCTCGCAGTGGAATCAGGTGTCATGATGTCTACAACACAAATATGGACATTTTTTTTACTATTCAAAATACCCAGTGAACCTACAGTTTATATGAAAAATTCACCATCATTAAAAAATAATAATAAAAATTGATAATAAGTGGGAAATCATATACTCATATGCTTAGGTCCCCCCAGTCATGCTATGTTGATTTTCTAAGCAAAAAATGAAAATAAGTGCACACCCTCTACAGAACGCCTGTCCATTTTAATGCTTCATTGCTTGATTACTGTTTATTCGCTGAAAAAAAAAACACTAAAAAATAAAACATACGTGTGGCCTGTGTAAAAGTCACAGCACATTTTATATTTTGTGTTTATATATGTTAAACTGAGCAAATAAATAGAAATTTTGCACTAAAAAGAATATTTTCATAGTATCACTATTTTACCTGATAATGGCCTGTATGTACCTTTTCGGCTGTTCAAAAGAAAAAAAACTGAATTTTATGTTTTCACATCATTCGAGCCCAATAACTGCCCTTTACAATGCTCCAAAACTGCTCTGATTAAAATCTCTTTACATTAACCTACAATAAAAGTTAAGAAGGTTCTTGCCCCTCCTGTAACGATACCACTTTGGAGATATTTCTTTTTTGGACATGTTTTTTTGGAAACGGCTTTGCAGTGGCTTAGAAAGCACCTTTTAAGAGCTCATGCATTCTTTCCGTAAGTGAGGTCCTTAGTAACAGCAGACCCAAGTGTCTAGGCCTTATCACGCATCACAATCAACAGAGAGCGAAGGCAGCACACGCGTCATCAGACGTTCATGAAGCCTGTCCCTGCAGCATTACTGCTTTTTCCTTTTTTGAATTACCAGGCATGCAGCCTTATCAAGAGCGTAAATGTACTCTGGGGACGAAGGTAATTGCTAGCTGACCACACAGGCACACAGGAAACCGACGGACTGATGCATCACCACGCGCTGGGTAAAGAGAAGGACCCCCACCACTCTTTCCTCCTAATGAACACAGCAAGGTGTCCGCATACGCGTCTATATATATACTTGCATATGCATGTGACCTTCCGAGGGTCACAATGGCATGGCAGACTATCAATTCTCAGCAAGATGCTTCCGCCCACAGTTATGCAGAGTGCTCTCCACATAATAACGCATGCGTCACAATACGAATGCTTGCCATGGCACTGTATTGGTGAATGGCAGGATTTCCTATACGACACCACAGCACAGGAGGCTGACAGGACACCACATAAACACCAGCAACAACGCTAACAGCTGAGACTGGACAATTCCTCTTCCTGCAGCTGCGGGTTAAGAGCAGACTGGACTGCAGAGTTGCTGAAATTGTACCCTTGGGGGCCCAGGCCATGTGTATTCCCATTTTTATCAGGTAGGACATTAAGGATGTCCAGTGCTCTGGCATTTATTGAGAACATTCAGGTTGGCTTCACTTTTCTTTCCTCCAAACTCTTTTTTCGTGTGAGTTAGAAGAGTTTATGCTCAGGGTTGCCAAATGTTTGTAAATTAGCAGCCTGTGAAAATATCTAAATCCACTTTGTCTGTAAAAACAATGAAAAAAAAAATGCCCATCCAGTTATTAAACAACTAGTCTGTGCTTAATTTCTGAATGCCACCTAACTTTCCTCCTGTTTATAAACATCTATGAACTGAAGTTTACAGACGAGCATGGGAAGGTTCTTGTGCCAGACAATCAAACATGCTAAAACAGATGTACACGTTAAGCTCCCATGGGCACTACTACAGCCCGATGCCACGGCAGACCCTGGCTTTTGAGCTTTACAGTGGTAGCCATCTGGACGGTCCTCTTCTTCTTTGGCATGGAGAACACAACATCAATCATTTCCATAAACCATGTTGTTGGCACCATTTCTGGACATTATTAACATATGACTTTCGCTGTACACAGAACAGCCCTGATTTGCATTGTGAATCGAAGGGATTGAAGGTCACGGGTGTTTATTTGTGGTTTTCAGCCTTGTCTTTTACACACAGAGACATTTCTCCAGATTCCCTAATCCTGTTGGAGTTTTTGCTGATGCGTTTTGGCAAAGTGGTGGGCTCATAAAGGACTAGACTTTTCCTGGATGCTCCTTTTATACCTAAGCATGACTGCACCACCTGTCTAAGACAGTTTTTTGTACATTTCACAATATTCCTAGTCCTATATTGCCGTTAAATTAAAGTCAATAAGGTAAAACATTAAATATCTTGTCTTTGTACGGCTTTCGATTAAATACAGGTGGAAGTGGATCCTCTAGTCACTGCTTTCTGTTTTTAGCCACATTTCACATACTGTTCCAACTTCTTTGGAAGTGCGGTTTGTACTTGTCATCACTTTTCTTTGATTTTTTTTATTTTTTTTTAAATTCTGAAATGTTCTGTTGTTTATTTCCAGGTTAAAATGAAAATCCCAGATTTTCAATGTGGGCTCGGAATTTGAGACCCCACTGTATGTATTGGCTGTGGTCCTGGAAAAAATGGAGTCTGATAGTGAAAATGTGAGGGAAAAATCTCTGAAAAAGATGTAAAGGACCCAAGGTTAAAGGTGTCACCAGTGTTGAATCAGGCAGAAAACGTTGTGGAAAATGCTGGACTAGACATCAGAGGGAAAAAGAATGAATTGGATCCAATCCTGTAACAACTGTAGCTCAAAGCAGACACACTCACACTGTGTGATGTTGTTAGTTGTGTATTTCTTCCTAGCAGAGCGCTTGAGTAGCCTAATTCATTTTAAGTGCTTCAATTAAAAATAGCTCATTTTAACCCCTTACAAATCTTATTACATACTAAGGCTTATTACTCAGTAACTACAGGGACTTCAGTGCAAAACTTTGGGCCCTGGCCATGTAAGAGGTTAAAGCTTAGTAGATTTGTAAAAATTAAGTGACAGCTGGCTGATACTAAAGGGTTACATAATAAAATAATAATAATAATTAAAAAAACAAAAAAAAACAAAACCAAATAAATAAAAAATAAAACTTCAGTTGTTTCCTTTCACATCAAACCAATTACTTTGGTTTTACACATTAAACCAGAATTTGTTTACACTTCAACGATTGATGGATTCAAATAAAAAATAAAGCGCAAGTTTAAAATAAAAGTTAATTAGTTTAGTCCAGTTTGGTGGTTCTGCTTACACTGGACGTTGAGAACGACGCTGTCTGTGAAGCGCTCAGTGCGGTACGTGACGACACAGGTGAGCTTCTGCCGGTGGGTCTCGCGGCTGGGGACTACCACGTAGTTGCTGCGGATGGTGACCGTCCCGTTAGGGTTGCGGGTCTCCTGGAAGGTGGCCTCGCCCTTCAGCTTGGTCTCCCACTTGATGACACTGGGAGGCTTGCCGTTGGCCGACTGGCAGGTAGCCACCGTCATCTTGCGCTTCTGGCCGCGGGCGATGATGGTAGGCGTGGTAAGGGTCATCTGGGTCACAGGGCGAGCTGGGGAGAAGAAAAAAATAAATTAATAAATTCTTGATACAGAAAAATCTAGTTCATCGTAGGCTCTGTAAAACCATTACACTGTGTCAAAGAGAGCTGTGTACTAACACAGTAGCATCAAGAATGCTAATGTATGCAGTGTAGGGCGAAAAATGCTTGGTTAAACTTCAATAACATAATAAAAAAGCCAGAGATTGTGTTTTTATTACTCATATAAAGCCAATATCAGCTCAACTCCACCTTGCCTATGACTTTGCCTCTAGCTGTGATCCCTGACATTTAAAATGAACACATCCAATTGGGCTGCCTGAGAAAAGCAGGAGGGGGAGAATCAGTTTTGTGGCAATATATAGTCAGGCTAATCCTCTCCCCCATCTTGTTCAAAGTAAACACATTAGTCAAAAAGCTCAAACAGATGCAAAAGCCACTCGTCTTTCCAAACGCCCAAAGTCATCCAATCTAAATTCTTTGTGGGCTGCCAATTAGCAATAAACTAGCCCCGGCATCAAAGCAAAGATGCGCGTCGGCATGAAACACTGTCAGTAGGAACTGATAGCGGTACATGGAGGGTTTGTGCCATCGGATGATAGGACATGAAGAGGCCTCTCTGAACGCTGGGTGCTGGTTATCTCCATTCAGGTTCGCTGGCACTTCCAGAGCCCCTGTTTTCTCAAAGGAGAGAGCACAAAAACGCCGCACAGAATGGCCCGGGAACTGACGAGCTGCGCTGGCAAGCTGAGACTACTTCAGCCGAGTGCTTCCTTTTGCCTGGCTTAATGAAAAACACACCAACACTTCATTTCTAATTACATCTGCAATCACAGTCAGTGCACAACCTTTTTACAAGCTACTGTTCTCTTCAGGGACGCAGGAAGTTAGGGAGCTCAGGGGGCTGCAGCACACCCTGATTTAAGGACTGCAACTGCAAAAGTTAAAAACAATAACAAAAAAAAAAAAAAAGATTTCTGTGAAATGAAAAAAAGATGTGTCTGATTTGTTTTGCTCATTTGATGTTTAATATTATCATCATACTCTGCAAGTATTGTCGGAATATTCTTATTTCATTGATATGGTTTGTTTGGAGGCAAAAGAGTTAAATTCTTGAAAAGCCCAGCAGAAGACGATCCACTTCTCTGTGGTATCTTAGTGCACATAACAAAGTTTGCTCTCCCATTGGTCAGGCCTTCAGGAGCTGAACTGAAGTCTTAATGTGTCAGAAACCACTAACATAGTGAAAAGTTGAGAGTGGACCAGTTCTGTGAGATAAAAGCATCACTTTAGGCCTGAAGCTCCTGCATTACTCCCTGACTGAGAGTACAAATGGTAGCCTGAACCAAAGAGCTCCAGGCAGAAGGAAAACAGCACAACTCTATGCCGAGGCCATGAAAGTGTCACTGTAAAACTGTTACGAGGTAAAATATATGTTAATATATCTGTTACAAGCTTCACATAAAACATGGAATGTCCTTTACAAGCTTTAATCTCAAACAGCCCAAAAATGTGCATGTAAATTGATGTTAGCTTAGCACTAACATACTACTAGATAGCTAGATAGATAGATAGATAGCTTTAAGGCCTGAACTGAAGGCCTAGTCACGGTTTGCCGCTGGCTTTAGTAAGACAGAGTATGTATTTTCATTTTGCAATGTTTTAGTTAAAGACGCATTTTAGATTGTTGTAAACCAACTGTTGCTAAAACACATTGCAGGAGTTCTAGACTAGGTCTGTGTCCTAAAACAGCCTAATATTGTTTTAAAACTGTAATGTTTTCCACAAAAATGATCTCTCACATGTATTTTTTCAGCTATTGTAATAATCTCCCGCTAGATGTGCGCATGAGGCTTGTCTGTGGGCGTGGCTCAAGTGGCTTTGCGCCTTGTATCAACAAGCTAAATGGTCAGTGTGTAGTTTATTTGCATAAAGAGTGCAGAAACAGCTGCATGATGTCACTGTGTTGTCATGTAAACTCTGCTACGAATTTCAGCACTTTCAACTTAAAACACCTTCCCTGATCCCTGGCTCCCTCTCTCTCTCTCTCCCCCTCTCTCTCTCTCTCTCACTCTCTCTCTCTCCCTCTCTCCCTCTCTCTCTCTCCCTCTCTCCCACTCTCTCCCTCTCTCTCTCTCTCCACCTCTGCCTGCTGGATGATGTATGACATACACCTCTGTTGCCCTCATACACAGAAACAGGCCTCAGTCTATTCACAGATGACCAGATCTAATGCTGAAAACAAGACACAGTGGTTTTATTGATTTCCACCGCAGCCATTTGTCTATTAATGAAATGGAGGCATGAAGGCGGCGTCTTAATGCATGTGTACGCATGTGAATGCATTACACGCGCATTCCTGCCGACGAGGGCACGGCTAGGTGAAGAGGCTTCCTCTGTTCTAGCGCGAGGCGATCAATACACCTCAGGCGCGGTAAACTTCTGAACCAAACACATTACAAATAAGCCCTCAGACCAGCCAAGGACGCACAGGACTTTTCCTCCGCAGCGCCTCCGAATCATGAATAAAATAAAGCCCAAAATAACACCCATTTATAGTGTAACAGGAGCTAAACAGCCACGCAACTGCGATTGATGACACCCTGCTTGATCACCACGGCAGTACAGTGCAGCAGTCAGTGCATCCGTGTACATACAGTACTGTGCAAAACTCTTAGACACCTAAACGCATTACTTAAAACAATTATCTTCGCAATAAGTTTTCCTGTAAAAACACCATATATTAGTAAAATAAAACTAAATAAATATAATTACAGTAACAAATAACCAGAATGTCTTGTTCTCAAAGTTAGAAGACTGCTTTCTGAACAAGGCACAGTAGAGGCAGCCAATCAGAACAGAAATCATTTACATATATCAGCCCTAAAGTGACGCTATCTGCTACACTAGTGAATCATTATTTGATTTATATTGCAACTTTCACTATATGGAGACACTGACATGATGCATTAATATTTAATGTATGTGCTAATACTGGTGAATGTTATCCACTCATACTAGTGCATATCTGCTGATACTAGTGAACATTTATTTGATTTGATTACAGTTGAAATCAAATGTGGAACCAACAGGTTTCCAATGAAAACCGTTACATCCGCTCTGCAATCTGCCTGGAGTTTAGATATGTGAAATTAAAGGCAGTCTGTCCGGAGATAAAGACATATCGCCTTACAGAACATGTGCTAGTCAGAGCACATTCAGCCATAAATACTGATCCAATCCAAATACACCAACAATGCTCCAGTGCTAATGCAACACAGTTTAATATTATACTTCACTCTATACACAATTCTTATGATAACACTGACTAACACACACACACACACACTGCCTTCCATTTGACAGACCACTGTCTACTTTTCAATTAAGGAGGAAAATATATCTACAAAGGTTCTACTGACATTAAACAGCACTCAGCTTTATGCTCATCAAAGTTTGCATATAGTTGTATGCAAAAATCTGGTGCCTTGGTCATGTTTTGTTGAAATTAGTCCACATCCTCTACACAGATGCAGATTTTAAAGCACAATTAATGTTTCTTCTTAACTTACTTTCCCTTAGAAAATCAACAAAACATGCCATTTGACCCGAAGGTGTTCAGACCTTTACGACTGTACATCGTCATCAGGTTCACATCAGTTAACAGCAGTGGTTGTTATTAACAGTTTGCGGTTATTACAGATAAAATCAAACGAGCCTAACAGCCAGTTTTCCTATGAAAAATAGAACATATGCTTGCCTCAGGTTTAGATAGTGAAATTAAAGGCACTTTGTCCAGAGATAAAGACAGATCCACTTTCAGAATATGTGCTAGTCAGAGCACATTCAGCTCTAACCACTGATCCAATCCAAATACTGAACTGACGACACTACTGTGACTCACTGTGTAATCTGATTATAGACTTCCTTATGAAAACACTAGTTATTGTATATCATTCATTTTGAATGGCTTGCCTTTTTATATATTTCATATACAGTAACTTATACGATGTATGTTTATATTGTAAACTACACACCAAAAGTTGTTTTTAGATGTTTTTCAATGTTTAAAGTTTTAGGAACAACAATACGTCATTAACTGGTTGGTACACGCGGTGCTCTGAGAAAGTATGTGCAGGTCTTTGTACAAAATCTAGCATCAGACAAGGACATGAAGAAAATGAGGAAAGATAATAAGCATTATATGATTATTTCATTTTTGAAGGAACAGAATGTTTTGCAGCACCCGTGTGAAAAAGTAATCGACTGCTTTCTCCCTTTGGACATAATGGATCTCGCTGTGTTTCGCTGGAGTCCCAGAGCTTTAGAAATGGCTTTGCAACACTTTCCATGCTGACCTTTGCAGAACAGTCACATACATTTCACATGTGAATTGTGAAAAAGCACATGTGAAAGTCGTGTGTTTTTTATGTGTTTTGTGGAATAGCGCGCTGCTTTTTGTACCGTTTAGCCTAATTCACAATGCTGGAAAGGCCCTATTTAAGTGAGGTTTAGATTCAAAAGGGCTGTAATCAAGCCTGGGTGTGTCTAGTTTAATTGATCCCAATTATCAACCACATTTGGTTAATTGCTTGATTGAGTAACCAGGGTGTGATTATTTATCATTTAAAAACTCCATTTACAGCACGCTAATACATTGTTGTGACCTATTATCAATCATTTTTGTCAGTTAATCTAGATTTTTGATAACTACTTTTGAAATATGTGTTATTTTGGATGCTAATTTTGTTGTTTTTATGTATTTGGTTAGTTATTTGTGTATTTTGTTCATCATTCTAAATGCAGCTAAAACCGTTTTTTACAGCTTTCTCAGCTCTACTAATTGGCTGAAACTTTTGTGCAGGTCAAGCTTACTTGATTCATTGTATAGATTCATCTGCAATCAGATAATTAATTGAAAACATTGATTTAAAACTTAGATCCGAACCAGAAACTTAATCCTACACAAGAACAAGAACTGCGAGTGAAGTCGTCTTACCATAGACGGTGAGGTTGACCGTGTTCTCCCTGTTCCCTGCGGGGAAGGTGGTGTACTCGCAGATGTAGGCGGCCTCATCGGAGAGCCGAAGGTTGTTGAATACGATGGTGGTGTCCTCCAGCGAAGGCGTCCTCTGGCGCACGGCCGGGTGCTTGAAGCTCACGCGGTCCTTAAACGGAGGCAGGACGGACACGCCCAGCGCCGGGTTGGCGATGGCCACATTCTGCTTGGTGCCGTTAAAGAACTTCTGCCAGGTGACCTGTGAGATCTTCACCGGAGGCTTGCTGTTGATGAAGAGGCAGCGGAGCTCCACCGTGGAGCCCACGAAGCCAGATTTCACTGGGTCCATCTGTACAGACTGCCCATTTCCCACTGAAATCAGAGAGAGAGGGAGGGAGAGAGAGTGAGGGGGGCAACTATGTAATTATGCAAAAGAAATAAACACTTACAATACTGACCACTCATATAGTGACTCTTGCATTTGACACATTGTCTGCAGTCCCATAAGAGCCCACTGCAGATACTCTTTACACAGTGCACTTTAATGCAATGGTGGCAAAAAACCTTCACACTTTGCCCAAATGTAGATCAGTCAAAACATGTTTGGGCCAAACTGACAAAACCAAACTGGATTCGTGCAACTTTGATTTTTTTCACTGAACTGCTGCTTTAAACACTTCCTCCCTCACTGCAGGAGCTAACAGAGCTTGTTAACAGGCAAAGCGGTGGGGCTACGGGCTCAATCTGTTTTTTAAGCAAAAGAGGCCTTCATAATAAGACTGTTGCAACTAGATGCATGCCTGATGAGGAAGCCTTGGAGGCAGCCCACCCACTCACCACCCCCAAAACCCCCTCCCAGAGCCCCCCACCAAATACAGACCTCACCAACCTTAATTACTTTTCACTTGCAAACAGTTCTGTGGCAGCCTGGAGCACCTATTAAAAGAAACGGAGCTGCTTTCTGAGTAAGCGTGCCCACCATGAGAGCACTCACGCGGCACTACACTAGAAAAGCAGGCGCTTAGTGGATGGCTGGGGCCCAGCCGTGGTTAGCACCGCTTGGGGGAGTTTGGAGGCATTAGGACTTGGAATTAAAGTTTTTTATAGCTGTTTTGCTATACATCTGATTTATATTTCATAATTATTTTAATTATTTTGTTACATTAACATTTGATTCAGCAGCTGCGAGTTTCTTACATTTTTCCATTCTACGCCAATGACTCTGTGCACACAACGTTTTATCAACGTCTAAAAGTTGCAATAAATAATAAAAATAATTTCGTTTCAGTGAGATAATTTAACAAAATATGAGAGTCAATTCAAGGCCTAATCGCTGCAGGGGGCTGAGAGGGGTAAGAGATCAACAAGGGGACGTCTCCCCAACCTTGAGATAAATCAACAGGCGCCGTTTCTTTACAGATAACCCTGAATGTAAGGCCGCTCCGCATTCAGACACCCATTGTCCCTCCTCCCGCCGAGCGCTCTTGGCCTTTTGTCTGATGAATGGCCTTCACCTTTTACCACCCCATGATGTGTCAACACAAGCCACACTCCCTCACTCTCTTTCACTCTGCTTTCTTCATCCCTCCCGCTTTCTTACCTCCCCTTCCGTTCACTCTGATCCCTCCTCCTCCCTTCCTCCCTCTCTTCAATCTCCAGTCCCTTTCATTCCATTGTTTTCAGCCACCCTTCCCTCCCTACCTCCCTACAGAGATGATGGTGTCTCTTTAAATCTTATAGGGCTGCATGATATAGACAAAGTATTATACTGTGATGGGGAATGCAGTGCATTGTATTACCTGTGTAAACTGTAGGTTTATTAATCTTAAATCTTATCGTTGCAACCAGTAATTTCTTGGAATTATATCAGTAACTACTATTGAACTACCATTGAAGTCATGTAGTGACTAAAGGGTTAAATCACATCTGAGGTCTGTCTGAAGAAGCAGCATTTCTCGTTTAGCCAGCTAACTGTAAACACGTTGATCTAGGCCGGCCTGGACTTTCTGTCTCGCACCGTTGGATCACTTTTACCCATCGCCATGGTAACTAATGCTGCCTGTCTAACCTGCCCTGGGGAAAGTTTCTGATTTGTCAAAACACTTAAAAAGTGTTTCAGAGTGGTTTAATCTGAAATGGAGCATTATAGAGGAACTTTCTGACTCTGATATCTTTATAGTGGTGGTGATAGGAACCAGAGGTCACAATGATTACAATACACACACACACATACATATATTCCAAAATGACCATGTGATACTGGTAAAATAGTAAAATAGAGGTAAATCTGGAAAACAAATACATTGAGACAGATTTTTTTTTTCACAAAATGTCTTAGATGTCTGGTTCCTATCACCACCACTGTGAACAATTCTGACTCAGTAAGTTACTGTAGAATGTTGTATTTCACACCAAACCACTCTGAATGACTTCTTACATCTTAACTATTTAATTATGCAGAATTTAAAAAAAATCAGTTGAAATTTGGGATTTCAGAGTGTAAACAGCTCTTGGACCAATCAGGGCTGCCTTCTGTTGGAAGCATACCCTCTGGTCCTTTTCAGGTCACTTTTTTATTTTATTTTGCTAGTCATCAGCTTTTCAACTGTACACATAAAAGTGCACACACAATAAAAACACAGCCCCACAGTGACCATTCATGACGTTTGAGCCTGACAACCATCAGCTTCTATAACAGTCTGATTTCTTTATCTTCTCTGTTTTATGAAGCTGTGTTTATCAGGTTTTGTTTAGTCAGGCACTCAGACTTAGTTGAATGTGCTTTGTGAGACGGACACCTTGTATTCATTTACGTTTGCAGGATCAGTTCACATCATCAGAACACTCAGAAACTCAACGGTCCGCACAGCATTTGACAGAGAACTCATTTGCATACTGCAGCTTTCTGTCCTAGTAATACTGAAAAGGCCATGATAATGATTAACAAACAACATATTCTCCAGCCCTACTACACACACACACACACACACACACACACACACACGCACACACACACACGCACACACACAGTCTGAGCAGAGCAGAGGCCTCTGAGGTGAGGGAGTGAGGGAGGGAGGGAGTGAGTGAGTGAGGGAGTGTGTGTGTGGCAGTGGACAGATGTGTCTCCAGTGGACTTCTGGCTCCTGTTGTCTTTAACAGATCTGGGTTATCTTAAGAGGCCCAGGACAGATTTATCTCCCCTTGACTGCACCGTGCCTTCAGGTGCTGTCCGACTGGACTGCCTTCCTGCACAGACATATCCTAAGCCACACACACACACACACACACAAACTCTTTCTCTCTCATGATTACAGAGGTAATTATCTTATTCACAGAGGGCCTGCGTTAGAGGAAGTAACTTCTGCACTAATTCATGTCACTCATAAAAGCCAGACATGCTGACAAATACAATTTACATAAGCACAAGCGCTCATATGACTGACTTCACAACAAAACTGCACACCTCTGAAACGGTTACAATAAAGCAACAGTCAAAGTAAGGGCCTGAATTTTCTGCCACGAATGACCTGATTTAGCTCACGAAAGGTCTGATAATTATCTGATCTGCAGGATTGAAAACTGAATAATTTGTGAATAATACTCATGAGCATTAAGGCCCATGGCTGCAATTTTTACAAAATTCACAAAATTGCCTTGTAATTTTCAGCAAACTTGCAAGAAATGAATAAAAGGAAAATCACATAGAAAGGGTGTCAACATAAGGTAGTCATGTTCTTTGACTTTGGCATGTTGTCAAATTCTGAATTGTATTATTTTCCCACCAACAACGATGCTATGATAAAGATAAAGATCAGAGATGCAGTTTTGATGACATTAAGTTGCATAAATAGTGTTTTTTTAGTACTTCAGTAGCTTCAATAGCTTCAGTAGCTATACATATATATGTAAGTTACATACTAAGGTTGAAGTCATTAAAACTCATCTTTATCCCCTCCACAGATTCCATTCCATGTCAACAATCTATAGCTTTAGCAAGTTGTCTACCTTGTACATGACACAACAGATGGCCTTATGATGAAGGACAATTATGTGGAGATATTGAAGTAACATCTCAAGACAGCCAGGAAGTTAAAGCTTGGGCGCAAATTGGTCTTCTAAATGGACAATGACCCCAAGCATACCTCCAAAGTTGTGGCAGACTGGCTTAAGGACAACAAAGTGAAGGTGACAGAATGGCCATCACAAAGCCCTGACCTCAATCCCACAGAAAGCCTATGGGCAGAACTGAAAAAGCGTGTGCAAGCAAGGAGGCCCATGAGCCTGACTCAGTTCCATCAGCTCTGTCAGGAGGAACGAGTCAAAGTTCCAGCTACCTATTGTGAGAAACTTGTGGAAGGCTACCCCAAACATTTGACCCCAATTAATCAATTAAAAGGCAATGCTACCAAATACTACACATGTATGTAAACTTCTAAGCCACTGGAGATGCGATGATCGAAATAAAAGCTGAAATAAATAATACATAAATATTCTGAGCTAAGAGAGGGAACGTGTACTAGGATTAAATGTCAGAAACTGTAAAAAAATGAGTTTGAATGTGGCTGTGTGAACGTGTGACTTCAACTGTATATATAGTTTTATATATGTATATATATAAGTGATGATATGAAACATTCCACACACTGTGTCTATTCAGGCACAGACAGCCATTTTAGTATTCATGCCTAGGAAAAGAGTGGATTGGATCAACCTCCCCACTGTGTTTGCTTACTTTTAGCCATTTTAAGAAAAAAAGCAAGGGAACCGGTTAAGAAACAGGCCTTCGGGGGAACTTCAATCATATCGGTCTCAAGCAGGGTTTAAATGATGAGCTTTGAGTCATAGTCATGTCAGAGGGGATCAGAAAGAGCTGGATTCATGGAAGGGCTGAGAGAGTAAATTAAACTGAATTTACGGAGCTTGAAAATAAAAAAGAAATGAACCTGACATCCTGGTTGGCAGGGCTGAAACTCATCGTTCTTTCAGCAGGCAGAAACTGGCAGGAGGAGAAGCTTCATACATATGTGGGTAAAGATTTTTTGGAAAAGAAGAAAACCTTCAGAAAAAGGACTGAAGGACATTTGTACGCACCCCGCAAGGCAAAGAGCTACTGCACTGATCCCGGCAAAAGCACGGTCCAGGCCTTGAGCGGAGAAGAATAAACAAAATATTCTCCTTTCATTCTCGCTCTCTTTCTCTCCCCACTGAGTTTCTGGCCCCCCGTTTGGCAGGAAGCGGGGATTGATGTTCCCGTCCCTTATTTCGGCTCCGCGAGCCGACTGCTAACACCTGGAGGGGTAGACGCGGGAGGTGTCGACCTTTTTGGACTAGATGAAGCCAGCACATCATCTCTCATTTCCGTGGGCCGGCGC